CAGTAAACGAGCTTTGTAAGGGGTCTAAAAGTACGCTTTGAAAGGCAGTATCAGTACAGCAGAGTCTTCGGCCACTGTAACTGTTGCCTTGAAAAGTGGAAAACACAACTAAAGTGAAAATTGTCAAAGTCCGCTTGAGGGCTTCCCCAGAGGCATTGAAAAACTCTACACAATGTTTAATCATCCGAGTAAATGAAAGTCAGAACACTTCCGATCGTTGCGGTAGAGATGTGCAAGTCATTGGTTTCTGTCAGCTTCCAAGAGTCGACAATTTTTGCGCTGATTCATCTCAACTGTGTCACCTGTGCCTTTAAACCAATTTAGGCTTCCGCAGCCAGTCATAATACTTTGTCCACTTAGCACTAATTTGAAGTGGGTGGAAACAGAGTCAGACTGTGATGTCCAATTTCCATTAAATTGGGATGTGGAAGATGACATTTCGTTGTCAATCTACGTGAGCATTTATGCGATTTATGCGAGAGCCACCTCGCTTCAGCCGGCAACTGAGCTACCTAGTTTAAACCTCAGCTCTGCCTGAACAGATGTGTAGGAATGCCCTATTGCGCACATGTGAAACACAACGAATGCCCACGTCGCCAGGGCCGCTGGTTGTTATTAACAGACAAAGGCCACTGGACGGCTCTAAATACGAACATAATCTGCATTCAAATCGCCTTCTGTTGTCATGGATTTCATACGCCATCGCCACACAAAAGACGACGCTCCCGCCTGAGCTCCAACGTACCGCGGACCCGGATCTTGGGACAGTCCGTTTCTCACACACCAGCCGTAGAGCGGGCTCATTCAGCGCGTCGTCCTGCCCCACCTGCTCCAACCCGGATCTGCCAGCCGGCAGCCCCACCGCCTGCGTGCGCCGGTCGGCGTCCCCACCGCAGCCGCTCAGGCCTGGGGGAGTTCACCGAGGGGTGACGCTGGGCCCGCAGCCCAATCCTGCGGGCCGGGGAGCGGTGGCAGAGGGGCGACGCGGGCGCCGGCGCGGCCTTGGCTCCCGTCGGCCAGACTCCGGCTCGTCCGAGCTCGACTGACCCCATTCGTGCGGCGCGGCGGCCGGCGGCCGGCGGCCGGTGGCCGGCTTCTCCCGCCGCGCCGGATAACGGCCCACGCGGCCGCGCCGCCTGTCGGCAGACAAACAGTCGCCCCGGGCGCCAGTCGGCGCATGTCCGGGCTCGTCCCGGCCCGTACAGCGCTCGCGCCCCGGGGCCCGCCGCCCAGCACGTGGGGCCGCCGGCTGCTGCCGTCACGGGGCCGACGCGCACGCGCTTTGTTTGCCGCGGCGTGACCTATAACGCCGCCACTATTTGCCCGGTATTTGGACCACGTGTCTAGCAGCTGTGCTTCCGGGGTGGTGAGCTGTCGGATGCCAATTACCTTGGCGAATTCTGACAGAAAATGGGTCTGAGGTGTGCACCCCGGGTGATATTTGGTTCCATGGATCACATCCGGTTTACGTAGGCTAGCACGCTTGTGCGTAAAGCGAACCCGCCTGGTGAATACAGTTGAGCAGACAACCAAATGGGTTGTGAAAAGCGGGCTGGGGTTTGGTAATTTCCCCGCTCAGCATAACGACGGGTGAGGAATGTCTAGCGGGGCATCGAGCCGGAGAACCATACCCCTTCTTCAGGTTATGCACATGTGCCGCATCGCGGTCGCCGCTACGTGCTTGTTCTTCGATGCACTTCTCGCCGTGACGGGTCCGAAGAGCAGCGGCCCTGCGGCGCTCGACATACATATTGTAATCACATCAGTCCTACCCATCCCACGTCACGCTATCAGTCAGTCCACGGCTTCGTTTCTTGACTTGAGGAGGCCTCGCGCGTGATAACTAACCGGTTGCGGTCTGTTTTGCAGACTAGACCACCAACATGGGAAACTTCTTCCTGCCAGCCAGCGTTCTTCTGCTGCTCCAGGTGAGATGTTGGCAGAAGCGTGTGGCCAGGAATGAGGTCACGCCATCTGATGCGATGGTGATGAACGGTGTCATGCTGGAATGGAATATTGTGTAATTATTGGAACGACGCCGGAATTTCCCCGAGGCTCATAAGTGAATACGCATTTGGGTCACAGATACACGGTTACTAAAAAGGGCTGTCATGCTTAGATACGAGGCGCATATGCAACGAAGCATATTTAAAAGTGATTAAGGTTCGATGGGCAAATTATTTCCCTCGTGAGTGAACCTAAAATCGACCATTTGAGAAGGGTATTGTAAGATGAGACCAGAGCCCTGAACTGGTGCATCCAAGAGGACAATGCCCAACAACCAGCCACAGCTGCAGGGCAAATTCTCCTCCAGCCCGGTGGGGTATGTTTTCATTCATGAACTGCGTGGGATATTTTCACACGAGAAAATGTGGTTGCGTGGTGCCGTCATTTGCAATGGATCAGCGGCATAGTACCGATGAATATTAGGTAAGTAGGTGAACTGTGGGAATGTGACCGCGGTTTTGGAGCATCCCGTGCGCTAATGGTTGCTGTTATTGAGTACTGAGTAGAAAAGTCATCACTACGCAGGCGTCAATCAACGAAAATGCGTGTGGGCTACTTTTGAGCAGCCCGCACGCTGTTGACACGCTATTGATATCTAAATATACCAATTTACTCTAAAACATGCATTGTCCTAAACAGTTAGATACTAGCACCATTCCGCTCATGGATCAATCGTCACCGTATGGTATGAGATGTGTTTCAGCAGGTCTAGAACAACACACTACCACGTCACACCTACACAGCCGGGCACACCTGCTTCCTCCTTCACCGCTTCCCACCACCCTTTCCTCCACGAGGCGCGTATCCGGCCGGCAGAGGCGCCGCGCCTCCAGCAGAGCGTGCGCGCGGCGTCGCTTGGCCCGCCTCCCTCCAGCAGCGGCTATAATGGGCGGCGGCCGGCACGCCTGGCACGGCCCAGATCTCACGCACGCCGGCCGCGTGACCGTCGGGACGGAGCGCCCGCGTACGGCACCCGACCGCTCGGGCACGGCCGCCGGTCCGACCGGGCCCGGCTCGCGTCAGACGAGAGCCGAGGCCGGCCAGGCGCCAGACATGGCTTATTCATCGCCGGAGACGGGGTCAACGATATCAAGAAGCCCGTTTGACGTAAGGAGGACGGGGCGCCGCATCGGGCCTCGGTGTGGGCGCGGCCGCCTCCTGATCGCGCGGGCTCAAAAACTGGCTGTCGGAGAGGAGTGGCAGTGGCGACGCCGACCTCAATGCCACTCTGAAGCCCGCACCTCAGCTGACTCTGGATAGCCAGGCGCGATTCGCCAAGATAGGGCACTGTCTTGCGCTAGCGGCGCCTGGTGAGATCGGGCAGGTCAAGTTCGTCGACAGGCGATCTGTCGGCTCTCCCGGAGTAATGTATGACATCCATGAATGGCATCAGACGTGACGTAATTTCCGTTTGCTATTCAAGTGGCGAAAGTCGCTGGAGGCCTATTGATGTCACACACACACCCAGCTCCGGGGGCGCACATCCGTGTCAGGCGGAGGGTGCGCGCTGCCGGCCGAGATTCGGGCCGGGTGGGGGCGAGACAATGGTGGCCCAGTGGCGGCCTGCAGTCCGAGAAAACGCGGGATGCCTGCTGGCGGCACACACGTGTCTCCGGTTACCAGCTGCGCTGCTAATGGTCCTAGCATTCTCGCGCTTCGCGAGCATCGAGATCGTCTGTCGCGTCGTGATCAATGATCGTTCCGATTTCTGTCAGAAGATAGCGTGTCGTGCGCGCAGTGCAAGCCGTATCGTAGGTCAGGAAATATGGTAATGCGCCCCACTTATCTGACACTTAATTTTGTTAGCCAATCAAGGGAGTTTGGCAGATACCCACAATTTCACTTCCCATTAACGTCGGCCGTGTTTCGTCATGTGACGCTTCAAAATAGGCTAGTTCGTAGACGGTACACCACTAACCTGATTGCCTGGCCAAGTTCGTGTGGGAAAGCTTTCATTATCTATTAGCCGGAAAAACTGGCATTGATAGCTGAGGCACGCAGGACACGCCCTTCCACTACTGCAATTCAAATCGTAATTACAATCCTTATGTGGTGATCACGAAACGAAACTCCATTTGATAGTGATCATGCAACAATCTAATCATCATGAATGAACACTCAGTTTGAATTGCACGCATGACATTTTAATTCTTACACTGGAGCCAAGTTTTCATTCAGCGCGACGTGGGCTGGTAGTTTTTATTTTTGGCCAGTAGCCAATCAGATACCGACAACCGACATCTCCATCGCTCCTATTCCAACAGCCTTTCAACTCTGTGTCTCAACAGGCCCAAGAGAAATCCTCACACATTCGACTTCTGCACAAAAACGAGTGGTTTGGCACTGAATTACCACTCGAGCAAAAATTCGCTTTCTCTAGAGCAGCACGTGCTTTGTCTGCCCGAAAAACAAGTCAGTCACACAGCTCTCGCCCCCGCGTGACGGGCAGCCTTTCGACCAACTGCGGGAGTCGGAACAGAAAGAGGTGTCGGACACTGACCTCCGCTGACTCTCACCGTAGGCCCAACCGGCTGTCAGAGTGGTCAGCTGTAGGCACGTGGGAGCGGCATGCCCGTGGGAGCTGGATGTATACGAGTTTGTGAACGAGCTACACAACCAATAAACTTTCCCCAAGTCTTGCAATGCATCGGTTTACACCTTCCTGAAAGGCTCCTCGGTTGCGGCGGAATTCACATTTTACTCTCCACTGGATCGATTCGAACGTGGCCCAGTTATGGGCATGACAAGCGTGATCGATCGGCCATTCACAGCATGCCCATTCTCGGTGCGTTCCGTCTTGTCTGATCGAGCCATCTAACCCGGCGCCTGTCTGTTCCAGTTCGCGGCGTGCGACGACCTCGGGTCAGCGCACCTGCCGGTCGAGCACCGCGGCGGCGGTGGGCCGGTGCTGGACGGACCGGGGTTCGGCGGTCCCAGCTACGGCGGGCCGCCGCCGCCGTCGTTCGGAGGGGCGCCGCCGCCGCCGGGCGCCGGCTACAGCGCGCCGCCGGAGCCTGGCTACAGCGGCCCGGCCACCACCGACGCCGACCCGTGGCTCCTGCCGGCGCCCGATATGCCCAAGATCCGCAACATCGAGGTGCAGTGCGAGAAGGCCAGCATGCGCGTCAGTGTCGACTTCGACCGGCCGTTCTACGGCATGATCTTCAGCAAGGGCCACTACTCGGACGGTAACTGCGTGCACATGCAGCCCGGCTCGGGCTCGCTCAACGCCCAGTTCGAGATCTACCTCAACTCGTGCGGCATGGCCGCCTCAGAGACGGGCAGCTACGGCCAGCCGAACCCGGCCGGCAGCTTCGTGGAGAACACCATCATCATCCAGTACGACCCGCTGGTGCAGGAGGTGTGGGACCAGGCGCGCAAGCTCCGCTGCACCTGGTACGACTACTACGAGAAGAAGGTGACGTTCAAGCCGTTCCAGGTGGACATGCTGAACGCCGTCACGGCCAACTTCCTCGGCGATAACCTGCAGTGCTGGATGCAGATCCAGGTCGGCAAGGGCCCGTGGGCTTCGGAAGTGTCCGGCATCGTCAAGATCGGCCAGACTATGACCATGGTGCTGGCCATCAAGGACGACGAGAACAAGTTCGACATGCTGGTCCGCAACTGCGTGGCACATGACGGTCGGCGCGCGCCCATTCAGCTGGTCGACGGCAACGGCTGCGTGGCGCGACCCAAGGTCATGTCCAAGTTCCAGAAGATCAAGAACTTCGGCTCGTCGGCGTCGGTTGTCTCCTACGCCTACTTCCAGGCGTTCAAGTTCCCCGACTCGATGAACGTGCACTTCCAGTGCGTGATCCAGGTGTGCCGCTACCAGTGCCCGGAGCCGGCGTGCGGCGGCCCCGGTCCGCAGAACTACGACGTCAACCCGCGCGTGCCAGCCGGTGACTACCAGGGCGCCGGCAGCGAGAAGGAGCCCGTCGTCGTCGACGCGCAGAACGACGGCGTCGACACCAACCGGCTGGGCGGCGGCGGCGCCGCGGCGCTGCAGCAGGGCGCGCAGAACCGCGACGGGCAGGCGGTAGGCGGCCAGCGGCGGCCGCCAGCCGGCGGTCGGCCCAGTGGACCCATCCCGCAGCCGGTGTCGTTCCCGCTCGCGCCCGGCTCACTGCGCCTGCCGCGGCCGCCGCGGCCCAGCTCCGGCTACAGCGGCGTCAACCGGGCGGGAGTGGCGCTGGCCGAGGGCCAGTACGCCATCTCGGGCCAGCCGCGCGCCATTAACGAGCAGGAGCTGGACCGGATGGGTGAGGAGGCGGCCGCCAAGGCGGAGGCGGAGGCGGAGCGGGCCGGCGCGCGACGCCGCCGGCACGCGCCCAGCCATGTCTACAAGCGCGAGGCGCAGGAGATGACCGACGTCGAGACGGAACGCATCATCCAGGTGGTGGCGCCTGGGGACGTCGCCTTCAACCTCAACGCCAACAAGGAGACGGTGGTGGTGTCCGAGTCGTTGGACGCCCGCGAGAGGCGCCACAACATCTGCATGTCGGTGCCTGGCTTCGTGGCCGGTCTCATCATGCTGCTGCTGGTGCTGGTCATCGCCTGCATCGTCTCCATCTTCCTCTTCTCGCGGGTACGCTCTTTCAGCGGCAAGACGTCGTCGTTCGCGGCCGGCATCGACAACCCCGAGTTCGTGAAGTGTCCCAACTGAGTGGCCGGCCGCGGTCGGGGACCGGGCCGCCGCCACGGACAGTCGTCAGTTCTGCGGACGGTGGCCGACCAGGCTGGCACGTGATAGTGGCGAACGCGCCGCGCGAACGCTCGCACGACGACGGTGGCGAGCGCGGAGGCTGGTAATCTCAACCGCGCGGGATACTCGCCGTCTTTCTCAGTGAGCGCAGACACTCGCCGCCGGCGGGCTCGGCTCGCCCGCGGCCGAGGACGAGTCGTTTTAACCAGGAGTGTGTGCCGCGACATCGGTTTGTTATCTGACTAGGCGCGCGGCGCCCCGCCTGCTGTTCGTTTCCTTATTTATTACACACCTACGTACTTATTTATTCCGCTTTGAGCATGGCTGACTTGTCGGTTGAGAGAGCCTGGACGTCTCTTACTATGTGTGCGAAAAAGCGTCGCTGAAATGCGACGCGGCTTCGTCTTGAAGGCATCAGCGTGAGCTAATCTGAGAATTGTTACATGGCTCGTTCGGTGTTGACGCCACCACCAACAGCAGGGACGTCCATTGACTGTTGTGAACAACCGTTCAGATGTACTGAACGTGACAAGCGACAGCAGATGTTGATTAAGCATCGTGTTTGGAGCCAGTGCAAAAGTAGACCAGGAATCCCATGCACGCAAATTACTAGTACACGGATTCCCAGCATAGCGCTGGGGTGATCAAAAAACCTTAGCACATGCGTGCTTGCGTGTCTTAACTTAAGTGCTTGATATGTGTCCGTAAATGTGCGTGTGATGTCGGCTGTCGCACTGACCGATACGAGCAAGGGTATTCACTGTGGCTGGGCTGAATGCCACCGGGTGTGTGACGTTGCACATGATCGTTAGGTCCTCAAATGGGCTAGACGTGTTTACGAGCGACCCACTGCTGTTGGCACCGTGTCAAACGATGTGCTCAGCGATAGACCACGAAGAGGTCCGTTGCTGGGTGCTGGATGAGTGTGAAGTATGTCAGTGAGCCAATATAAAACACATACTCACCGCAGGAATGCAATCATCGGAAGATCCGGATACTCTATCCTCAGATGATTTGTAACCCCCTTGCCTCGTTAAGCATACGAAGCAAAGCATCCTTCCTGCGAAGTGGAACTTAGCATGCTCTTCTAAAGTCCCATTCCCCGACAATGGGTACATTAACAAGAGCCATCGGCAGCCTGCAAACTGTCCAGAGCCGTCACACGAGCGCGCCGCTCCCGGTCCAACCCCCCCCCCCCCCCCGCCCCTCCCCGGCGGCGCGCCCAGCCGTTTTCTCTCCGGGCACAGCCGGGGACCCTAACGTGACCATTCTGCCAGCGACGGCGGCGGTGGCCTTTGCCGGCCAGCGCTGCGTGACCTCGGCGTCGGCGTCAGTGAAAGCCCCGGGCGTCACAGGTGATGACCGGTGCTCCCGGCCGCCGCCGCCAGCCGCGGCGCGCCGCCCCGTCGTCGCGCGCGACGAGTGCGCTGCGGACCGCGTCGGCGGCACTTTCTCCGGCCGGCGGGGGGCGCGCCGGTCTCGCCGGCCGCGCGCCACGAGCGCCGCCGCCCCCGTCGCGCTCCGGTCCGTTACACTGACATAGTTTCGCCGCAGCCGGAGCCCGTAACTGGATCAGTGGGGGAGGAGGACGGAGCTGCGCTGTCGGGAGCAGCGGTGGCAGGCGGCCGGTGCGATGGGAGGCATGGAGAGGACATGAGACAAAGGGTCAGTGGGAGAAGAGGACACTGACACTTGTTGGGGAAAAATATCGTGCAGAACCAGCGAGCGAAGAAGGCGCTGCAACATCGAGAGGGCCGTAGGACGGGGCCAGAAGGTGTGGAAAACAATTCAGCATCGGGAGGAGCACCGGAAAAGACGAGTGCTAAAGGAGGATGCTACGGCTTCGGGAGGAGCATCAGACGGGAAATGTGGGTGGATAAGACTCCACAGCATCTGTAGGAGCATCAGACAGGGACAGTGGATGCGAGGCACACTCCAGCACCGACAGGAGAATCAAATGGGATCAGCAGGAGAGGATGGCACCACAGCATCGGGCAGTGACGCTAAGCGAGCTCTCTGCAACATCGAGGAACATCGGGTAGTAACGATGGGCGAGGACTCTGCATCATCGGAGAACATCGGACAGTGACGCCAGGCGAGGACTCTGCAACATCGGTGGAGCATCGGACAGGTGTACACTCTGTAACATTGGAGGAGCATCGGACAGTAACGCTGGGTGAGGGCTCTGCAACATCGGGGGAAGATCGAGCAGTAACGCTGAGTGAAGACTCTGCAACATCGGGGAACATCGGACAGCAACGCTGTGAGAGGACTCTGCAACATCGGGGGAGCAGCGGACAGTAACGCTGGATGAGGACTCTGCAACATGGGGGGAAGATCGAGCAGTAACGATGTGTGAGGACTCGGCAACATCGGGGGACTAATGAACAGAGCATATGGAAGAGGGGGACACTCCAGCGGAGCATTGGATATGATTACTGTGGGGGGGGGGACGCCATAGCAGCGTGAGAACATCAAACAGTGCACTAGTGGAGGAGGACACTACAGCGTCAGGAGGTACATTGAACGGGGCCCATGACGCGGAAAGCGCCACGGCATCGGGAGGGGTATTGGACCGAGTCAGTCATCTGAGGAAGCACCGCAGCATCAGCAGGAGCATCGGAGTGGGCCAGGGGGAGAGGATGATGGCGCAGCATCTGCTGGGTCACCGCGTCAGGTCAGTGGCAGAAGAGAGCAGGTACCATGGTTTTGGAGCTGGCCATGAAGAGGACATTACAGCACAGCAGGAACGTCAGTCACGTTGATCAAAAAGAAGTGCGACACAGCGATGGCGCAGTGAAGCTGTCCAGTCGATACGTTTGGTAGCGCAGATTAGTGCTGAATCAGCTTTCTCCCAGGGTGTTTCTTCTGCGTCGAAAAATTTCATGACAAGCGATAATGCATTTTCCTTTGTTCGTGTATGAGACAGGATCGTCATATCAGGATGGAAAAAAATCTCATTGGCACAGATAAATCTCATGAGAAGCATAGCATTTCCTTGCTGAACGTGGAACACTTTATCGGGTTTGGCTGAAGCTTGGGGGACAATTCACAACTCCGTAAAACAGGGGGTACAGTGTAGACGTGAGGAAATTACAATTCCAGAATAAAACAAGAATCGTTTTAAACGGGAATGTCGTTCGCCTTGTGAGGACCATTGCCTTTTTCAAATTGTGTTTTGAATGGCATGCGTGGGTAGCTTTGGATTCAGGTTTCCTGCCAAACAAAGCTCGTTGCATTTATCCTGAACCCACCACCCAAGCAGTGCTGTCCGATTCAAATGATAATTTTGCCTCCATCCTTTCGTCACACGGGGCTGCGGAGTGTTTTACGTGCCGCACAATGCTGTGGCAAGGCCGCCCCTGGACCGCAGCCGACCTCAAATCACCGCAAACACTGAACGCATGTATTAACCGCGTATTGCACCACATTCTTTACACCGTGGCGTGTGTGTAACCGGCGAGCGGATGGTCCACCACAACGCCATCATCAACGGTGATTAGCATCAAAACACAGCCATCATAGCTCCACAGCGTAATGGTAATGAGTTATCCTCAGCAGTCGCCGCGTGACCCAGTGTCCGGGATTGAAGCGATTAGCGGAATTTATTATGCACTTTCTTAATACATTGCGATGTCCCCTCTGCCGCTGCAGCAACAGCGTACAGAGCGTCGATCAAGTTCAGGCAGTCCGTACCCGTTCCAGGGGCCCCGATCATCGCCGTTCGCGGGCCAAGTGGAAATCCTGCCTTGGCTTCCCAGGCCGGTGCACCGGTCTGTTAAGTGAAACGTGGACGGGGTACACACCGCGGCATGCACTCCGTCCGCTCAAATCGCGGCCGGAGAAAACCTCCGAGAACACCCAGAGACTGGTCTCCGAGAACGCCCCGAGACTGGCCGGGCCGGTGGCATTCGGGTCACGGCGCGCGGCGCCGGACGCGACGCCGGGCTCGACCCCGCCGCGGCGCCGGACGCGACGCCGGGCTCGACTCCGCCGCGGCGGCGTCCGCGAGCGCGCCGGTGCCGTCGTCCGACGCCCCGCCTGTGCGCTATCACCGTGGCTGCCGACGGGCTCGCCGCCGCCGCCTGGCCGGCCGATTGCACGCATGGCGACGCATGTGGGCTAGCGCACGTCCACCAGGAGCGGCGCCGGCCGGCGCGCCGCCCGGCCGGCCTCGTTCGATAGCGCCGCGCCGGTCACGCGCGGATGGCCCGCCCGGCCGGCGCACAGGCGAGAGAGTGTGACACTCGGCTGCCGTCGTCGGCCGACGACGGCACCGATCTGCCCCGATCTTGCCGCTCCACGCACCGACGCGGGCCCGGAGCTGAGTCAGGCCAGCGGTCTCAATTGATGAGTTTTTCTGTTTCTCCTTTCTCCACAAGTTGCCATGTAAAAATATAGTATAAATCATGACTTTTGCGCCATAACAACAGTGATGTTTGGAAAATGTGCTGCGTCTATCCATGAACTGGACCGCGCGTGGCACTCGCCCCGAGGCATGCCGTGCAAACCACTGCCAGCTGATGGCCGGCTGAGCGTGTCACTGAGCGGACAGGCCACGCGGCGAGCTGACGGGACCGGCCGCGAAGGCTGCCCAGAGGAGCCCCGGCCGAGCGCGGCGCAGGGCGGCGGCCGGTCGGTGACCCGCGGCCGCCGGCCGGTGACCCGCGGCCGCGCCCGGTCTGCAGTCCCACCGCCTCCCCGGCTGGCCGGTCACAAGGTCACGCCGCCCGCACCGCGGCCTCTCCGGCGCCAGTGGGTCAGCGCCGACAGCGCGCCGATGGCCCGCTAGGTGGCCGCCCGGTCGGGCTGTGACGTCACAGGTGCTGGCAGTCGTGACCGGTGCCGGTGGGCCGTGGTTCGCGGGGTGACAGCGGCTCCCACGGCGGCGGCGAGCGCAGTGTGTGCTCGTGTCTCAGTTGGGTGTGCATTTTGGCTTGCGCTCATCGCTGCAGATCCATGCTTAGATATTTTGCACCAGGCTGATCAGTTCACTTGCACGCTACACTAATTGAGGTGTCTGCTTAAGAGCATACCCGAGGGTGAAGCATATCAAGGAGCGATCGATTCCGTCATTACCCTGCAAGCTCCATTAGAAGAACCATTCAATAAGGAACAGGAATGGATTGGGCGCGATTGTGGTTTAGCACGCCTCTTCTTTTTATGTGTACGATCCCGAGAAATATTAGCGGGTAAAAATAACCTGCTACGCTAAAGCGTTCGGTAAACAACTGAGCCTAAATCTGGCAACCACTTATATGACGACCTATAGGCAGCACTATCCATATGCCCGGTCACTGCCGGTGCACACTGATGCATCGGGAGTGAACGGGTAAGAAGCACGTTGAAAAATGTCCTCTTTCCACCCAGTCTTCAGGATATAATTAGAGACTTGATTCTTACAGACATGATAATTGCAGACATGATACAGATTACGGACAGAACCACAGAGTTTTAACGCCCATCATTAGTTCAAGTCATGGAGCTTTAACCCGAACCAAGCATTTGCAATGCATTGCATTGCCCCTGCACTTTGCAACATATCTGGGTATTCCATTTTGCAGTGCTATTACTAACCGATTACCTGCTATGTCACAATGCTGTGACGAGGTAGCGGGTTAGGGCGTCGCCCTGACCGCGGCCCGGATCACGGCCCGGCACTACCGCAGACTAGCGCGTGCTGCTCTGCTGCCACGCTGTCGTAACCGCGGCCGACCGAGCCACGCGGAACCAATGGGCCCGCGCAACCATCGCAACGCCGGTTACGAGCTCGTTTTGCAATTCGCCGACGGGTCAGGCTGGACGCTAGTGAGCGCAAAGGGCAGCAGGCGCTGAGTACAATGCACAATGAGCAGGGCGTCATGAGAAAAACGCGTCACGGGCATTTAGAAACACATCAACAAAAAATCCCTTTCTGTTGTGAGCAAGAGTCAGTGGCGTAGCTGATTTGGGAAGTCACGCTTCGTGGT